TAGTAGTAGTAGTAGTAGTAGTAGTAGTAGTAGTAGTAGTAGTAGTAGTAGTAGTAACAAGAAGCTATTAGAAACAAGTGCATCGCTTTCTTTTTCTTTTTCTCCGCAAATCCAGATCTTTAAATGACAACCTATGGCAATCTGCAATCAAGTAGGTTGGAGGCCATCGCTACTAGGTTGGAGGCTACAGCTTACTATTAGGTTCTTTGGTCTCCAACCTAGTAGCGATGGCCTCCAATCTAATAGGAATGGCCTCACGTCTATAGTCCAAGACCTTGTGACAACATTGCGTCCATGTGGTGGTGAGGTCATCCATATCGAAGTATCTCTTGGAAGAAGTGGAGAATATGCCAATTCAGCAGGCGCTTTTGCCGGATTTCGATCAGCAGACTGAATTATATAGAACACATAATACTTGACACCACCAAAGACACTGAAGTCACTTCTTGTGTTGTTGGAAATTGAGCCCTAAGACAAGTCTTTCTCACTACATTTGTGTAAAGAGATGTTTCTTGTTCGCATTTTCGTCAGAGATTTCAGGCGGCTCGTGCAGTGTGGGATACAAACACGTTGTTTGGAACAGATGCTGTAGGATCTATACGATCTATAGGGATCTTTAGGGTGTTTAGCTCGTGGCCTTCACTAACTCTATTAGTCTATATCTCCAACCTAATAGCAATGGCCCATGGCCTCCAACCTAATAACTTCTTGTTACTAGTAATGCCAGGAGCTACAATAGTAGCATCCTTGCTCCTAGTAGCGATGCCCAGGAGCTACTAGTAGCTTCCTGCTACTATGTGTTTGCTTTTGAGGCCATTCGCATTGGCGCAGCTGTCGCTCCGACGCTGGATGGCCCTGAGGTTTGCCACAGGCTCGCACAGGCCAGTGCTACATGGTTGACTTTCGCATGAGCTTAGCTTTTCAAGAGTTTTTAGACAATTAAAATGAGCTGAGTTTTCGCTTAGCTTTCGCCTTTCGCTTAGCTGTTCATTGAAGACAACTAAAATGTGTTGAACATTTCGTTCACCATCCGGAAGACCAACGAAGAGTTGCTTCATACCAGGTCGGCATGTCGGGGAAGGTATATGCTCAGTCTTGAGATCTCACGAAATCCAAAATCATGTTTCACACCGGTTCGCACCAACCATGCTGAGTGCATGTTGTTTGGCAAGTGACGGTTTGTTGGTGTGTGCGATGCGCAACGAGTGATGTGGAAGCGTACTGTGGTGATGTACACGTTCTGGGGTGGTCAAATGCGGTGGCTGGTTGATGCTGATTTAGCTGATGGTTTTAATTCTTGTTTCTAATAGCTTCTTGTTACTACTAGTAAGGCCCTTGCTCCTAGTAGCGATGCACTTGTTCCTAGTAGCTTATTTATTGACTCATTTGGTATACTGGAAATATAGACACCTTCAGATGGAAGTCTAGAAGTCTTGAAGCCCAGTTTCCAGACAAATGGCAAGAGAAATGACAAAAGAGAGAGGAAGCACGGTCTGAAGAAAAATGAACCAAAAAGAACTACCAAAGAAACACACAAAAAACATCAAAAAACAAAAGCAAGAACGTTACTCGGGGCTCCTGGCATCGCTACTAGGGGCAAGAACGTTACTAGGAGCAATTGGCGTCGCTACTAGGAGCAAGAACGCTACTAGGGGCTCCTGGCCTTACTTCTAGAAGCAAGAACGCTACTTGGGGCTCCTGGCCTTACTACTAGGAGCAAGAACGCTACTAGGGGCTCCTGGCATTACTACAAAAGTGATTTGTCAACTTGTCGATAATGTCTTTAACACCATTATGTATACCATGCCATGTGTTCAGTATTGTTTTGTTCTGCCTTTCTGCCTTAGTTAGGTGCGTTCCACCGTTGTTCGAACGCATTGCAAGGTCATTCCGTCGGACAACTCCATTTCACCTTGCGTTCGGCAATCATCCGCATGTTTGCGACATGATAGCGCTCTAAAGGGTGAAGTCTGCATAGAGGTTGAAAAAGGAAAAGTCGAAAGGTAAAACAAATCGAACAAGAAGAAAGGAGGAAAATAGTCTTAAATATCAAATGTTCTGTTGTATTGTTTGCTTTCTTTGAGCTTTGTAGCCTGAAATCCCTGGGAGGTTGTGGCTGAAATCAAGTTTGATTTGCCCATTCCTGCTGCAGCTCTCTGGTTGCGTACCTTGCAACTGCTCGAGATGAATGAGGCAAATCCTGGTTTGGACGGTTACTAGTAGCTTCCTGGTTTGGAAGGTTTTCTGTGGGTATTTGAAAGTGGGTTTGTTAGCTCGCGCTGGAATGACATGGCAACTCAGAGGCATCTTTGTGGCAGCCACTTGTTTGGCAACTGCATCGTAGATTGGCTTCGACCAATGAGGACTGCACTTTTTGAAGCTCGCCTGCTCCAAGACAGGATCTACGGATATGGATAAATTCAGGTGATTCACATTGTTGCCTCTTCAGGAGCAAGAACGCTACTAGGGGCTCCTGGCCTTACTACTAGGAACAAGAAGCTACTGGGAACAAAGGGCATCGCTACTAGGAGCGATCGGACGCTACTATAGGAGCTCTTTGCCTCGCTACAAGGAACAAAGGGCATCGCTACTAGGAGCAAGGACGCTACTAGGGGCAGTTAAAGCCAACACCAAAGGCCAAAGAGGGAGTCCCTTAGGCGCCGAAGACACGAAATTCTTAGCTCGTAGAATGACATATTTGAAGCTTCTTGTTCCTAGTAGCGAGGCCAAAAGCTCCTAGAGTAGCGTCCGATCGCTCCTAGTAGCGATGCCCTTTGCGATGCCCTACCCCCTGAAGTGTGGCACGGAAGGAGACGAGAAATAACGTGGAAAGACATGAGTGGAGTCTAAGAAGTGCCAGCCGCGTGCTGGGAGCATTGGAGAGGCCATGAACGGTCACGAAACTGTGATTTGGTTGTTTCTTGTTTTCGATGTACTAGCGATGGCCTCCAACCTAATAGCGTCCTTGCTCCTAGTAGCGATGCCAAGAGCCCCTAGTAGCGTCCTTGCTCCTAGCATCCAGTAGATGATGTTGATGTTGATAAGTTGCGATTTGAGGTCCCTGAGACATCGCGAATTGACAAAAGTAGCATTTGTGCATCCAAAACGTGTGTTCTTTCCTTTTCTAGTCTGATCGTTGTTTTTCATGTAGACTTTTTTGTTTAGGCATTCTTATTCACTTGACATGAGGCTGGGAGGCTTCCGGCATGTCCAGGCCGGGATGCATCCTGTTCAGTCAATACCCGACCAATACGCCCAGATGTTACGAGTCAAAGCGTCTTGTTCCTAGTAGCGTCCTTGTTACTACTAGCAAGGCACTTGTTACTAGAAGCGATGCACTTGTTACTAATAGCTTCTTGTTCCTACTAGTAAGGCACTTGTTACTAGAAGCGATGCACTTGTTCCTAGTAGCTTCTTGTTCCTAGTAGCAAACATTGTTCCTGGTAGTACGACCAGGAGCCCCTAGTAGCGTCCGATCGCTCCTATTAGCGATGCCCTTTGCTCCTAGTAGCAAACATTGTTCCTAAATGCCTTACCCCTCAGCAATTTCTACTTGCAAGTTTGTGTCTTTGTTGCATTTTGAAGGACGTGTTATGTGATGTTGTGTGTATATTGTTCTTTCTTTGCTTGCAAGAACAGCTTCTACAGGTGGCATTTTTGTTTCTGATAGGACGGCAGCGTGCTCTTCATTTACGCGAAAGCTGCAGATCTTTTGCTAAGCGAAGGCGCTTCAACAGCAACTCTGAATATTCACTCCTATTCGTTTGAAGTTCAGAAAGACGAGACTGAATTGGAATGCCCGAAATTCTCCGTTCGTAGCATCTCTTTGTGGGGAGACACTTCGTAGCAAGGTTTGGACACTTCTGCACCTGCAGCTTTGTCGGTGGCCGAGCTCTTGCTTCGCACGGAGTGGCACCAGCCCTGGCGATGCTTGTTCGACCATTCTTTCAGACCATAAGTCGGACCATTCTGTGTCAATAAGTCGTTATCATGAAGAACAAAGTTATAACTTATCGACACTTATTGACACTTCGTTCGTGTTATTATTTGTTTCAAGAAGTGTGTTGTCTTTCAACCTTTAGAATGGTTTGTCTCACTTTGTGCAAAATTGAAGACGATCTGTCCAAGTGCTCATAGAAGCTTGGTGGACTAAAGTACAAGCTTCAACCTTTCAAACGCAATCTTGTAGAAAAATTGTTTTGTGTTTCTTCCTCCTGACCTTTTAGAGATGCTTTTTGACCGTTCTTTTATCGTTCTTTTGTGCTCTCGTTGCCCAACAAGTGAACGCTCTTTTGCACCCAGACACAAGGCCCTGGATAGGAGAGGTGTGACGGGGCCTCAAATTGTTTCCCATGTCATGACCGGACTCAAGTGTAGCTTTGTCTCCGGACTGTGCTGGAGGAATCTGGGAGCGACAGGAGTAACAGGTGTCCAACCTAATTGGCCCTTCACCTAATAGCGATGTGTCCCAACGAAGTGCAATGTTTTCTTTTTAGACCTTGACAATCACGAGTTGCATGAGATTTTGCCAATGACGCACCCACAATGCGTTTGGGAGATTGGACATTCCGCTGAGGAGAATGGATACTTGATCGTGTGGCATTTGCAGCTTTAAAGATGAACGTCATGTGGCCAAAATATGCCCAAAAGCATGCTAGGGAGAGTCTTGGACAAGCACGATGCGTGTGTTTTGCAGTGTTTACACGAGGACGTGTTATTTTGGCTTGATATGATGACCCTTATTTCAGTACTTCACTGGCTTTAATTTGAAAGCTTGCTTGTTCAAAGTTGTTGCCTTGTTCGACAGTGAGGATGTTGTGGATGCGACATGTTTTCCTTCTATGTCGCCTGGCAACCCTTGATGTATACCAGCGCGGAGTTCAACGCTCTCTTCGGCGTCCCTCGTTCAAGAACTGGTTTGTTGGAGTGATTCAGAGCTGTTCCGTGCACTTAATGCTGTTTGTTGTCCAAAAATGGATCAAAACAGTAGACTTGTTGCTTGAAGTTTCCCTCAGAGGCTAGGAACCAAATCAGTCCGAGCGCTTCAAGGAAGCTCCCTTCCGCCCTCAGGCGGGGGGAGCTTTGTTGAAGCTTTCCATTTACTATAGGAACAAAGTCGGATTCAGAAACTGCACTGTATTCAGAAACTAGTCTTCAGAAACTATTTCGTTGTATTCGGAAACTATTTCGTTGTATTCAGAAACTCTTGTATTCAGAAACTATTTCGTCGTATTCAGAAACTCTTTTCGTCGTATTCAGAAACTATTTCGTCGTATTCAGAAACTATTTCGTCGTATTCAGAAACTATTTTCGTCGTATTCAGAAACTATTTTCGTCGTATTCAGAAACTATTTTTGTCGTATTCAGAAACTATTTTCGTCGTATTCAGAAACTTCTATTCCCGAACTAGGGGGCAATGTGAACAATCGCACGCGTGGACAGTTGATGCGTTCTCTTGCATTCAGGGTGGGGTGGGGGGTTGGGCTGGGGCAGTAAGCTTCCGTAGATGGTTGCGCGGACCAATGCTTTCGTGGGTTAGGGTGGGGTGGGGGGGAGGGGGGGGGGGGGGGG